TTCTTGAGATAATGTAAACTATGAAATATATTTACTTACATGAAATGTTTTACTTATTCCTGTTTATTTTTGTTAATCTAATATCCACATATTTGGGTTCTACAAAGTAATAAATGGGAAGCTAAATCCCTCCATTCAAACACAAAGTTTCTTTGAGAAAGTGATTGCTTGACAATATTATGAGAAATTAAAGCCTGACATGTAGGAATATATATATAAAATTTTTAAAAATGATTATATGAACAGATGTCTTCGTTAACCATACTTAATAATGTAGTACTTAGAATTATTTTAAAAGGTTGGATAGTCGTTCAGAATTTTTAAAGTAATTTCTTGCAGCGGTTTGCAGGAAGAGAAAGTTTTTTTTTTTATTATAAGACTAATACTGAGAGCGCTCACTAAGATGATTATTCCTTTTTGATCATGTAATGTCTGATAGAAAACTTAGAGGCTTTTTTTTTTTTTTTTAATGCATCATGTCACTGTGTAAATTCCTAACCTGGTATTTAAAAAAATGGTTCCGTGTGAAAACTCAAGTACATTTTCTCTGGAGGTAGTCACTGTCGCTTTAAATGAATGAGGTCACTCTAGTTAGAATATGAATCTGAACAGTTTTGTATCATGTAAGGCCCTTGTCTTGATGTTGGGCAGAGCCCTAGAGAAGATTTTTTGGTCTGTTTTTAGATCGGAGCTGGCTGTGAACTGTGAGGGTGACCCATTCACTTTAGGAACCAGATGAACCAGCATCAGAGCTGGCATCTTTTGAGAGTCAGACCACCTGTTGTCATTGTTGCTCAGTCTCTCATTCCTGTCCGACTCTTTGCAACCCCATGGACTGCAGCATGCCAGGCCTCCTGGTCCTTCACCATCTCCCAGAGCTTGCTCAAGCTCATGTCTATTGAGTCGGTGATGCCATTCCACTTGCCTGCCTTTGCCTGTCAGAAGGTCACCTCGCTTTGTGCACAGGTGGCCGTGCGGGGACCTGCAGACCAGGTCAGGGTTTCCTTGGGGCAGGAGAGCAGTAATTTTAAAAGTCAGGTGTCTGAAGCCAGGACACTTCAGTTCTGATCCAGGCGGAGCCCCTTACCGCCTTTGTGACCTTGGGATGTCGCCTCCTGCACGCCCCCCTGCAGAGAGCTTCTGAGCTGAATCCAGTTGTGAGAAAGGGCAGAACTAGATCAGCAACAGCTTTCGGGAAATGGTCCTCTCTCTGCTCTGGCACCGGAAGCAGCTTCAAAGCCCCAGAGTTACCTCGTGGCACAGAGAGATGCCTTTTATCTGAACATGTTCAGGAGAGGGGTTCCAGTTATCCCCTGGAAACTTAGAAACAGCTGCCAATTCCTAGGAGCACCTCCATCTCGGCAGTGTGGCCTCCAGACTGTCCACCAGCTGCAGAAAGTGCGCCCAGAGTACTGAGTGAGTCAGCCTGTCACGTTTAGCTATTTAACAATTAAAGGCTGGAGGCTGTCAAGCAAAGGGAAGAGTTTCTTCTCATCCTCTAATAACTGTTAACCCCGACTGCTATCTCTTAATGTCATTCCTATATTCTGCTGTGTGGGCGACTGTTTTATCCTTGTCTCCATCATGTCAGAAGCACACGTAACTCTACCATGTCGCAGAGATACTGTCCTTTTGTATACAGTAAAAGAAAGGTGAGAGGTGACCTTACTTCCAGAACTTAAAATTGTTACTTGGTGTGACAAGAGACTATGCATGGATCCATGTGAATTTTGCATTTTTTTAAAATCAAATTATTAGTTAAAGGTATAAAACTTGGTCCGTGGCCATTTGAAATATAAAAGTAAGTTATTTGTTGTGGGATTTTTTTCCCCATTTCCTTTGCCAAAAGACTACTGAAACTGGCCTTCTCCCGCTCTGGGTTAATACGTCTACTGAAATGTATCTTTAGAACAACCAATTGTTATCAAATATCAGAGAAACGTCCCTCAAACTAAGAATCCAGGCCTGGGTAAATCTCCCATAACATGCTTACAGTCCACCTTTTTTCAGAAAGGACTTGAGCTGACTTACAATAGAAGACAGAGGTTAGAGGTTATTAACACAGAAACAGAAGTCAAGTTCAGAACCAAGGAGAGAAGGGCATGTAAACAGACCTTCCCTCCCGACCAGCAGAGAGGCTGCGGCAGGTCTGCCTGGTTTAGAAGGAAACAGAAACAGACCATGTTTTTAAGGAGGGAAGTGTACCTTCTCTGTCCCTCGGAGAAGATGGAGTTTTCTCCTGCTGAGTTATGATGGGACTGTCATCTGTAAGGGTCTGTGAGTAATATACCCAGCACTGGCTTATCCCAAGTTACCAGGATGAATGGGCTTCCCTGGTGGCTCAGCAGCTAAGAAGCTGCCTGCCAGTGCAAGAGACGCAGGTTCGATTCCTGGGTCGGGAAGATCCCCTGGAGGAGGAAATGGCAACCCGCTCCAGTGTTCTTGCCTGGGAAATCCCATGGACAGAGGAGCCTGGCCGGCTGCAGTCCGTGGGGGTCACAGAGTCAGACACCACTGAGTTGACTAAACAACAGCACAGGGATGAACTGTACTTCTTACTGAGTCTTTCCTAAATTCCCATGCTCTTAGCGTGTTTGACAGGAGCCCTATATCATACCTCTCAATACTCTTCGGATTCACATTTCTGAATATTCAGACCTTTGAATTTTCACTCCACTGTTGTGTATCCCTTGACAAGGACCTGCAGTGATAGGTTCTGTTCTGCTGATTTAAACGGCAAGTCAGCTGACACCTTTGATCGAAGCTGAAATGTCTCACCACTCTGCTCACCCACTGGAAGTCAGACCAGCCTCCAAGTACCTGCATGAAGTCCCTGAGATGTTAGTGTCTCTCCTCTGGATGACCACTTCTTATCCCCCAGTATCCACTGTTTTCTCTCAGAACCCAGAAACTCATCTCTTAAGTGGAACTCAGATATACCTTAACCCAGTGACATCCCTTTCTAGTGATCATGATTTGAAATTAAACGGTGAGCGTCTATAATCTTGGCTGCTTTCTTCTCGTGGCAGAAGCGGTGAGGGCCAAGCATCCGCTACAGTCGATTGGAAAGTAAACACTGTTCCGGATTATTAGGAAAAGTAAGATTTCTTGACCAGCCTGAAGGGTATAGCACTTTTATTCAGTCAAAAAACGGCTATTGCATCTGCTTGGATCTTGGTTAAGTGGAATGAATGTGGGTACCACAGTTATCCTTTCTGCTCCTTTTATCATTTTTATCTCTAAACAAAATTTCTGACCACTAGGTAACCTGTTGGAAAGCATTATCTTTTTTTATATAAGTATCAGTGTAAATAATTTTCCCTCCAGTCTTCTACTTTGTGTATAACTGAATGTATTTGTTTTTATTTTAATGGGTAAAATGCCAACAACCTTTCTGATTCAGATCACTATCACCCAAAGGCTTGTGTGCGGCCTTACCCCTTCAGCATGCTGAATGCTGTCCCCTGCACCCCTGCAGAGAACAGACCAAGAAATCCCCGGCCCCTCCCAGTAGGTCTGCCTTAGGTCTTTGAACTGCCAGATGTGAAGCTGACTCAGGAAGCTTCATTCTAATAGAATCACATCACCTGAGGGTTAGCACTGCAAGAATCCTTACAGGTCATCATCTACTCCAGCCCTTGTCCTGAATCAGTGAAGAAACAAACCTCTCCAGACAGTGCCTTGAGCCAGTGGGCTTCCACGGGCTCCTCCCTTTCTGTCCCCTGGGGGCCTCCTTACACACACCTTCTTTCCAGACTTTTCTCACTGGCGGTGGGCTTCTTGCTGTTAACACACTCAGCCCACAGATTTTAGCATTAGTTTCTTTTTCCTCCAGATGAAAAAATCTTCTTGGTGGAAGTTGAAATCTCTGTAATTTGATAATTTAAATTATCAAACTGTAATTTGATAATTTAACTATGTGCCACTATGGCGAGAAAGAGTAATGCAAGTTTTCAGAGTTCTGAGTAGTTTATTAAAGACATACTTAAATGTAGGACTTCCCTGGTGGCCCAGACGGTGAAGAATCTACCTGCAGTGCAGGAGATCTGTGTTTGATCCCTGGGTTGGGAAGGTCCCCTGCAGAAGGGGGACGGCAACTCACTCCAGTATTCTTGCCTGGAGAATCCCCATGGACAGAGGAGTCTGGAGGGCTATAGTCCATGGGGTCACAAAGATTTGGACAGGACTGAGCGACTAAGCACAGCACAGCACTTAAATGCTAAGGAGTCTGGTCCTTCCTCTCGATTTGGCTTGTCCTGTGAAAGACCAGATTGTGAAGACATGTGGTTCCATAAATCACAGCAATTAGAATTAAGAATGAAGTGCCCTATTCTTCACTCATTGGCTCTAGGGTCAGATGGAAGGATATTTTCTTAATTTATTGAAATATACTTTTTTCTGTGATGTAAATAAGAAAACCTCAGTTCTCTCATCTATAACATGAGGACATAAGTGCAACTTCACACAGTTGAGAATTAGAGCACTATTTGTTACTTATATTGCTTATAATTTATTGTTCTTAGTTTGAAGGAGTGCTTTTACTATAATAAAAAAACATTTCTCTGTGTAAATTCAGATATACAATAAGCTGGTTATTAAAATTTAAACTTACAATGAAGGTTGTTGTAGTAAATTCTAGATCAAACAATGTGTAGAGATCTAATGTGTAGAGTCATTAATAACTCGGAGACTTGGAGTTTAAAACTTCCTATCTCCTGTGACTGCCGTCCCCTGATCAGACTTCTCTGAAAGAGAATCAGGTCACCAGAAAGCCACTATATTGTGGAGAACACTCTTCGCTTGACCTGAACACTCACCAGTGAATATGCTTCTTAGAGCCTTCAACTAACTAAAGTCACTGACAGCGGTCACACATATTTCCAGCCAAATATTTAGCAGCACACGTACATTCCTGGTAAACCCAGAGCTGTGCGAAGCGTGTTCCCGCTCCTTATCGCCCGGGGTGGGTCCTGAAGCAGGTTGTGTTTTCTTGTCCGCAGCTGCGACAGCTGGTGAACATGTGCATCAACCCAGACCCGGAAAAGCGGCCGGACATCACCTACGTGTACGACGTGGCCAAGCGGATGCACGCCTGCACCGCCAGCGCCTGAGCACGGCCGGGGGAGCCAGCATCCGACGTGCACTCCAGTGTTCTTGAGCAAAGCGCACCTCCCCCTCCTGGGTGTTAAGAGTCCTACTTCAGAGCTAATGTGCTTTGAATCCTTAACCAGTTTTCATCTAAGCTTCATTTTGTACCAATTTAAGTCACCTTCTTGCAAACCCCAATGACTTTGGAATAGTCAGATTGCATGTTAGGAGAGCAGACAACACAGTGGTTCTTAATGCCTAAGAATTTTTAGAATGATTTCAAGTTTTGTGCTCACCAGTCGTGTTCAGATAGACTCTCAGTGCCAAACACCGGTGACTTGGCTTGGCCCCATCGGGACAGACACACAAGCACGAGGACGGTATCTGAGCACTTGACTTGTGTGCTTTCCGGTCATGTGTGGACATCTGAGATGAACACAGTTGTGAACTTTTGTGACTCTTTTATTTTCAGAAGTTTGAAGTATGTGTTTTAGTTCTTAGCATTGTAGCTTTCAAATAGAATTCTTAAAGCTGAATATACACATGAACTATATTTTCATTCATGAACTATTTGAGAAATTTAAAATCCTTAGCTTATACATTCAAAATGCAACTATTAAATGTGAAAAGATTTGGGGACAAAATGTGAGTCAGACACTGAAGAGTTTTTTGCTTTATTTTAGTATCTTTGATGTTCTCCTTGCATTAAAGTGGTATAAATGAATCCATTTAAAAAGTGGTTAAGGATTTGTTTGGCTGGTGTGATAGTTATTTTCAAAGTTGCACATTGCCCAAGGCTTTTTTGTGTGTTCTTGCTGTTGTTTGTACATTTGAAGACTATTATTTGAATAATCCTGCAGTACTATATTTCAGTTCCTTTATGAATTTAAATGCTCTACTCATGATCGTGCACTATAGTATATAAGCATATGTTTTTATTCATAGATTTTATTGAAATTCTGATTGGTCCCCTTATGAAAGTTTTTTTTATATTCTTCAAGTTACTTTCCTATTTATATTGTACATGAGTTTTATCCACTAATGTTTCAGATGTTCTAACAACATTATAGCCTTAAAAGAATATTTGGTATGCCAACACTCCTCCTGGAAGGAAAACATTTTTAACTTTTTAAAATTTGGGCTGCCTCGTGTGTGCACGCCTTGTCTTGTTAGAAAGGAAGAGGGGTGTGTGTTGTCCTGTTCCTATGAACGTTGATGCCGTTGCAGTTCATCTGACAAGGTTACAATTTTAGAATATGTTTAAAGAAATGAAAACTAGCCACTCCCGCAGCCGGTAGTTTCATGAGCTAAACATTTCGGTTGAGAAGCTTCTCGCCAAGTACTGTATTCATGCCCGAAGTCGCCCGAGGCAGTGTAGTTTCCCGGAGCAGGCAGAGTTCAGTACCTGCCGTCATGGAGACATTTGCCCTGGACGCTCCAACACAGCCACGTGGCCGTCACCAGCTAAGGACCCCGTGCCACCACGGAACCTGCCCAGTAACCCTGCCAACGGGACACCCTCATGCTCAGAGAGCGCCTGCCCTCATCCCATAGAACTGCTGGTTTTGTTTTTTCCATAGAAGTATTTTTCTTAAAGTCATTTGAATACTTTCATTTGTAAATGTTTAAAATGTACAAAGCAAAGTGTCTGCTCCTTGCTTTTCTAAATTTAATTAGCTATGGTGTCAGTTGTGAATTAGGGTGATTTATCCCAGGCCAGGCAGGGGAGAGCTGGTGGCTCTGCATCCCGGACTGCACGGACACCTGGGCCCCCGGCACCCCCACACGAGTCTCCAGAGTAGAACTGTCTCTGTTGACCTTAGTGTTGTGTTCATTTTAATGTAATATGACTGATTGAGATGAGATGTCCTCTATTTGAAACAAATACGCTCATTTTTCTTGCAATCTTTAAAAATACATCCATCTAAAAGCCATTAGCTGGACCCCCTCACAGGACTTCTAAGCAGATTTAAACTTTTAAGTGAACCTATCTGCTATAAGCAAACTGGGAAGATTTTAATGATCAGGGGAATCCATTATTGTTTTCTACATTTGGAAACGTTCTGTCTTGGATATTTTACCTTTTTTTTTTTTTAATCTCAGTGTTCATATTTTTCTGGAAGAAACCACTGTGCACAAAACAAATTTTAATTCTGAATGGGATCATTTCAAAGAATTATGAAGATGATTAGAAGTTTTAATTTTTTATAATCACCTATAAAATGTTCTCTTTGTATTTCTGTTTATAAGTAAATTTTGTATTGATTAAATAAAACATGTGATTTGATATGAGGAACAGTAAAATGAAAGGTACATCTGATTTCTAACCCTTATTTAGACTTTGGTACCAGTTCCCCAGGGCACAAGGTGGGATGACCTTGGTTCATGTGCCAAGGCCTAGGAATGGTGAGCAAAGGGTATCCCTGTATACATAAAGTGCTCAGCAGCGGGCCCTGATTGTGAGTTCAGTGAGATATGACAGCCACTTCATGACTGCTTACCGTCCTACATAGTATCCATTACAAAACACCATTCTGGTGTCCGTATACACTTCAGGTGTTGCTGTTAACATTTGCATATTTATTTTAACCAAGTGTTATTCATATTAAATGTTTTTTCTTTAAAATGAATGTATTATGTTTATATCCCACCAATGAATAATTATCTTATGCCTCATATTTCAATAGTACTGTAATACGGACTTTTGTGAAATACTTTTATTTTGTTATGCTTCAAATACACATACTAAAGACTCTGTTGTTAGCTTTGAAAATTGTATAATATCCTAATATAAATAAAAATATAAAATTAAAAATAACCATAATAAGTTTTTCATGTATCTGTGATTTCCGCCTCCACTGTTTATTTCATTCAACAGTTAACCTACAGAAACAGTTCTTAATTCATTTCCATGAATTATTTCTTTATCCTTTTGGAGATGGCTAAATATTGAAACAGTCAGGGGTTGACCATGGAGGGCTGACAGACCCTAAGAGGGAAGTCTTTAAATATGCATTAAACTAAGGCACGACTTCACAGGTCCCTCTTCTCTTTGATACATCATTTGCTGTCTTTGAATAAGAAAAATTTCTTAAAATTATAAAGTGTCTAAAACTCAGGCAACAGATTCTATTCCTGTCACTGTAATATACCCCTACTGATACTACAGATGGTTTGAATGTTCTTTTCACATAATAAGTGACAGTTGCTGCCATGCCTGGAGACTCTGAGACTGAAGGATGTTAATGGGATACCGTCTGCTGGGCTGGTGGCAGAGTGATCCTCACATGTCAGAATCACATTCCAGACGGGTGAAGAAGAGCTTGGTTTATAACCTAGGACCGTGGGTGAGGAACCTGCAGTCCCACTGTGTGTGTATGCCTGATCATAAGTCACCGGAAATTTTAGGTTCAAGATAGTGTGGGACTAGTTGAGGTTTTCGGAGAAGGCAATGGCAACCCACTCCAGTGCTCTTGCCTGGGAAATCCCACGGCCGGAGGAGCCTGGTGGGTTGCAGTCCATGGGGTCGAAGAGTCGGACAGGACTGAGCAACTTCACTTTCGCTTTTCACTTTCATGCCTTGGAGCAGGAAATGGCAGGCAACCCACTCCAGTGTTGTTGCCTGGAGAATCCCAGGGAAGGGGGAGCCTGGTGGGCTGCCGTCTATGGGGTCGCACAGAGTCGGACACGGCTGAAGTGACTTAGCAGCAGCAGTTGAGGTTTTATCTCAAAGTATGTTTGTTAACTAGAAAAGCCAATACCAGCCATAGATGTTTAAATGTGTCATTAGTTGGTATAGCTGTCTTTACCAAACTGATGCAGTAACTTTCAAGTCAAAATGATGACATAGGGACAAAGATTACCTTCACAAAACCTTATCAGAAAATGCCCATGGGGCAGACTTCCCTGGTGGTACAGTGATTGGGCATCTGCCTGCCGAAGCAGGGAACACAGGTTCTTTACGTGGGCCGGGAAGATCCCACCCCTCAGGACAGCTAAGCCCGTGCGCCGCCACTAGCAAACCCGGCTGCTGCAACTGCTGAAGTCCGTGCGCCCAGAGCCTGTGCCCCAAGAAGAGAGGCACCACGGAGATGCTCACGGGCAAGCCCCGCTCGCCGCAACGCGAGAGAGCCCGCAACGCGGCAGGGACCCAGCACGCCAAAAACGAATAAACACAGTTACGTAAGGAAAAGTCCACAGGTGGCTTTCAGCCCGCTGCGGGCCAGCGGTTAAGACTCCGTGTCCCGGTGCAAGGAGCCCAGGGCCGATCCCGGGTCAGAGCCCGATCCCATATGATTCAGCTGAAGACCCCACACGTGGCGACAAAGATCCGGCACCGTGAGACTTTCAAAAATATCGGCGGAGTTGTTGCCTTATCTGTTTCTAATTACATGTGAATTCCTGGTACAATTAATGGTGAATTAAACTCCTGAGATTATTTTTCAGAGAAAGATGTGAACATCTGTGAAGTTTATTTTTAATTGACAGGTTTATCTGAGCTTCTTTTCGGTCTTCTTACACACCCATTTCACTCTTCACCTGTCTTTAAATCTACTTTTAATCCTTAAGAGAAAAATAAAAAAGGAAAGTGAAAGTTCACATTTGTAACCAGGGGTTTTTAAGTAAATTATTTTCACTGCGAGTTATTACAACATCTAGAAAGTAATTTCTTTTTTATTCTTTCCAGAAGCATAACCCTGTTCATACATTATTTCTCTAATCCTCACTTTCTCAAGTATAAAGTAGGGATATAAATTCCTAGTTCTACAAGAGAGTTAAATTGCAGTGCATTTAATGAGAGGCTGTGCACAGCGCCTGGTACCAAGTGATTCCTGCTAAAAGGAGCTGTTGTTACGCCATATACATCTTTTCTGGCTCCAGTCTTCATCTACTTTTGCCAATTTGCTCTCTCCTAGGCCTGTGAGACTGGTTGTTCAAGGGTCTCAAGTTCACTGTCACCTTTGGGCCAGTGCAACTTAACAGCTCTTCCCTCTTACCAGAAAGACACCCCGTAATCGTCCAT